TTTCTTCAGTCAAATTTCCTTAAGGCAGTACGCAGTTTTTAAGAAATTTGCTACGCTCCCTACTACGGGTTTTTAAAGTTTTTTGTGAAAAAATATCAAAACGCAACCCATGTTTGCAACAGAAATGTATGCCCGTTCCATTATTTTTTGATGCCCTGTATGCAGCTCTCAAGAAAACGGTCAAGAAAAATTGCCATTATTTCGTGTGTGTGTCCAAGGAATTTTGACGTTTTTGATACGTCACAGTCTGTTGCCTCACTCTTTCCTCAAGAAATAATGGAACGGGCATATATTTCTGTTGCAAACCTGGGTTGCCTTGTTCTCTTTTTTCACAAAAAACTTTAGTAAACCGTAGTAGAAAGCGTAGCAAATTTCTTAAGAACTGCGTACTGCCTTAAGGAAATTTGACTTAAGAAAATTTCTTTGCCATTTCTTGTACGTCATTTTATATGGAGTTTTTGCTTTTCTTGAGAGCTGCATACAGGCCTGGAGGAAAGAGTGAGGCATCAGAAGTCAAAATTCCTTGGGCACACACATGATTCAATAATACAAGGTTCGAGAAACTGACAGCTGTCTCTCTCGCACCGCTCCCTTAGCAGTGGCACCGTGTTGCTTCTTTGCACATTTACATGGAAACAGTGTAGCTTTGGTGTGAAATAGAAGTATGAGCGTTTGTGCAATATGTTTATTTGTATATGCTTATGAAGCATATTCAACTGATGAAAACATAAACTGTTTTTAAATTGGATGTTTACATCAATCTCATAGTAGTCTTATTTTAATTGTGAGTCATTTTGCAGTTTCTATACAGCTAAATAGCACATAAATTACGTAATTCACATAGATACATCAATATTACGTTCAAAATTTCGTTTAAAATGCCAAATTTCCTGCAACTACATTAGAATTTACAAAAGGAATTTCACTACTAATTGCCTACTTGGCATACTTTTCCGCTACCATTTTCGCACCAAGAGATTTTATTCCTCCCCTTTTCTCCGTCCTTCGTAAATGCAACCTTTTGTAAGGGAGTGTCAAACCGCAGCTGTCAATAATTATCTAACCTTGTATTATTGAATCGTGGGGCACACACACGAAGTGGAAATTATTTTCTTGACCGTTTTCTTGAGAGCTGCATGCTGGCCTTTATGCCTCATCTTGTCAGATCTTGTGCAGTTGGGTCATGCGTGATATGGTGTTCGCATGAGGCAATTTTCCGGGTAATTTATCACCGTGTCGTGAATACACCACAGTATAGACAGTAACCGACCTTTTTGGGTTGTTGTTGTAGTAGTCGTTGTTGTTGTAGTTATATTCACTCCTGAGGAAGGCACGGGGTTGTGTGCTGCTATTTAATGGCCTTCCTCAGACTTTTTCTCAGATTTCAAGGTTGTGTGCTGCATTATTATTAGATAAATAAATTTAAGCATTTGACAATACGTGATTTTATTAAAAGAAAATTATAAGTGGTGTTGAAAAACCAAACAACCGCTCGTGCGAAAGCTCTATTTTTGTGTGTTGTTAAAATTTATACATGGCGTATTGATTTTAATACAAGCAATGTATTCTTTTGTGGATTTTATGTTACTTGAGAATTTAGACAACGTGCGAGCTGCCAGGTTCTGTTATCAATATAATTAACACAAGCTTTTTCGCGTAGTTGCCTTTCAATAAATAGAATAAACAAATTTTCGCAAATAAATTGGATTTATTTTATAACTGACAACTAACGTACGCTTTTTGTTCTTTTCTCCATTTTGATTTTGACTCTTTATTACCGCCAGCAACTTTATGTGTATACGTATTTACAAGCTGTCAAAATTTTGCGTAGTCCCACGAGCTAGGTAAAAACTATGGCATTCGTATTCACAAGGAGAAATCTCAAAATTTTTGTTTGGTATTTCCAAATTTTCTCTTTTTTATCAGTTGGCAAAAGCCCTCAGTGGCAGCGCTCCGAGCGTTGAGATAGTAATTTCATGTCAATTAGTAGAAAAGTTCCACATTGAAAAAAATGTTTTATTATGGCGAGAGAATTTTACATTGCTGTGCCAATTCGTACCGTTTTGGCAACTATGCTTATCTTTACCGACTTTGATTCTTCTAGAACTAAGAGCCATGCATTTATTAGACGCCTTAGTAATAAAATTAGAACAAAAAAATTCTTCAAAACCGTCAGGCCGGGTTGAAAATTTTCATTCACCTCATAGTTAACAAAAATTTACAATCCGTAGTACTTTTCTATCAATTCGCAAATGCCGTTTGCACAAAAAAGGTTATGAAATGCGATTTATTTTAATCGTTTAGAAAATTAGGCATTTATGTATACCATTTTATGTGGAATTATTCAATAAATTTCGTTTTACACTATACTTTTTGAAACTATTTGTAGTTAATTATTTTTTGTTTCTTAAAAGCAACCCTGCGTGTTTGAAAGGCGTATGTACCAATAATTTCATCCCTAGCATATTCATCCCCGAGGAAGGCAGTCGCCAAATTCACCGAAGGTTGTTTACTGGTTATATTCATGAACGAAAGACACAAGATCACGTAAGAACAAGAGAGTGAAAAAAGTCGATTTTTTTAGCGGGTTCTACGCTATCTTGTTTCACTGGAAAACGAGCGAAAAGTAAACAAAGCAAAGAAAACAACGAAAACCAAAATTAGCCAAAATTATTGTCAGCCACTTTAAGCGCACAATTTAGGTAAAATGATGCAATAAAATGCTTGAAAATGTGTTGTCATGTTGAATTAACTCTTCTTTACTCTTTGGATCGTGATCCATATTGATAAATCTCAAAATATTAACGGATCGTGAGTGTGTGCTAAACGTTCAATATTTATCGCGTCGTAATATGGCGCAAGAAAATATTTTTATTTTGTGCGAATAATTTATAGATAATGCATTCCATATTTCGAATGTTAATATAAATACATTCAATTTGTCTTGAAAGGTTCTCAGCGCCGAGAGCGAAAGCAGAACGCATACATTTTCGATGTTGGCAATATGAGAGTACAGGATGTACTGACGAAATGTATAGCGCCTGTCACCCCATCAATATCGTTCGCTATCTTGGATCTTGATATTTATTGAAGTTGTAGCATCAGATATTGATGGATCGTGATACGTATCGCAAACTATCTAGAAATCCGGATCACGGATCGCGTATCGCGCAATAAATATTGAAGGTGTAGCATATTCAAAACGCGATCCATACATTTTGTACTCTCATAATGCGAAAACCTTTCAAAACAAATTGAAAACATTTAAATTAACATTCGAAATTTCTAAAGAAATATGGGATATATTATATGTAAATTATTGGTAAAAACTAGAAACATTTTCTTGCGCCCTAATAAGCGTGCAGCACAAATATTATGCAAATACTGACGCGATAAATATTGAACGTTTAGCACACACTCACGATCCATCAATATTTTTAAATTCATCAATATGGATAACGATCCAAATATCGCAATCCGTATTGATCGTGTAACAGGAGCCTATGGATCGCGCAATAAATATTGACATTATTGCGATCCGTGATCCGGATTTCAAAATTCGTAAATACTATCTGTATCACGATCTATCAATATTTGATACTACACCTTCAATAAATATCACGATCCAAATATCGCGATCCGCATTGATAGTATGATAGACGCCTTAAGCTGAAATTAGTCAACAACGCAGAACGTATACTTAAACAGTGTTGCCACTCATCACTGCATTTTCATAAACTTTCTTTTAAACTACAATTTTCCTTCTTTCATCAGCTGACACGGAAAAACCTAAATTCCGCAGATTTCTGCGCTACGGGCTACAACTACAGAATAGTTCTGCGGCGTTGAGTTTTCATTTACATGACGCCAAAGAACGTAGATAACAAGAAGGGACAACTTGTTATAATTATAGCGAAAGTGCGCAACAGGGTGTGCCTTCTCTTTTCATGCAATCAAAAAACGCACTAGGACATAAGAGAATGCACGCCCCTGTTGCGCACTTTCGCTACAATTCCCTTGTCCCTTCTTGTTAGGTTCATTCCTTATCTTTTTGGACTAAAATCTGAAAAGTGTCAAAATGCCAGAGCGTAAGCAAAATGCGCTCACTAAAAGAGAATAACAGGAAAAGTAAAGGTACGCAAAAAACCAAATTTTTAGTCCAAAGAATGGCAACAACAAAGCTAACGTCAAATAACATTCACACAAACACAAGCACAATAAACACTTACTAGTTATATCAGTTATTTTTTGCCTCCCTCCAATTTCAATTCACTTTTTTTACTTTTTAGATTATTCTCACTTTTTGCGTATTCTTTAATTTCCG